AAATAATTGAAATCTTAAAAAAAAAAATCCTTTCGGATCAAAGGCATCATTATATTTCAAATTATATTTAATAAAAACATGTTTATGTCTGAAACTATTGTAAGCATTTTACATGCACTTAATTCATAACAACCCAATGGTTACTATTCTGATACTCATTTTACAAATGGGAAAAGAGAAAGATAGATTGCTTCAGTTAATTCCACCAAATCATTAAGGTATTGAGTAGCAACCTAAGATATGAACCTCTATCAGATGCTATTTCCATTCTCTTAACATTTATGCCACATTACCTACTGAGCAAATGGACTTGTGGCTGTTTTCCACCATCTTAGAAGATATGGGTCTTACTCCATCTCTGCCATTAACTATCTATATGACTTTAAACAAGTCCCATCCGTTCTCTATGCTACATATCATTTATTTGTGTCTGTTGCAAGTGGTTGCCATATTTCTTTTTTATTTCACTTTTTTAATATCTTTTCAGTGTTCCAGAATTCATTGTTTATGCACCACACCCAGTACTCCATGCAATACATGCCCTCCATAATACCCACCAATTGTGGTTGATTCACATATATGATAAAATTGGTTTCAGGTACAGAATCTAGTGATTCATTACTTATCATACAACACTCAGTGCTCATCCCAAGTGTGCTCCTGAATACCAATTACCCATCCATTGAGCCCATCTCGCTCCAACTTCCCTCCATCAACCCTCATTTTGTTCTCAGTAGGTAAAAATCTCTTATGGCTTGCTTCCCCCTTCTCTTTTTTCCCTTCTCCTATGTTCATCTGTTTTGTTTCTTAAATTCCACAAAGGAGTGAGATCATATGGTATTTGTCTTTTCCTGGCTGACTTATTTCACTTACCATAATACACTCTAGCTCCATCTACATTGTTATATATGGCAAGATTTCATTATTTCTAATGACTAATATTCCACTGTACATACAGACCACATCTTCTTTATCTCTTTGTCAGTTAATGGACATTTGGGAATTTATATATAATATCCCAATCACACAACGTTTTCCATATATCCAGTAGAACTAAAGGTATATTCTTGAAATAAGGACAAAATCAATGCTCTGAATCATAGCAGAGATTAGATGATAATTAGTTGACAATAGTTTCAGTGAGTCTTCTTTTTGACAGGTTTGGTCAAGATTCAGAACATGGAGAGGCAGGGAGAAAGGAACTGGGACACAATCAGGGCATCTGATTATAAGATGTCCGGTCTATTAGAGCAGCTTATTATTATATACAAGCTTTCTCTTTTTTCTAATTGTTTTAACAACACATTTTGAGGTTGCTGTTTAAAATGCTACAGGTAAAAATACACCTTTTACCTGTAACCAAATGTCTGCCATAGTGGACATAATTTGCCTAAAAGACTTAATGTCAATGAATTATTTTAATGGTGCCTCTGAAGGAACAGTATGATGTAATGGACAGATTTCTAGTCTAATGATCATGAAGGTGAGCATCCAAGCTCCTATGTCTTGTTACCTTTCTCTTGTTAGTGCAGGACAATTCATTCTCCCTGATCCTCTTTCTTCAGCTGGTATTGGAACCAATCATACTGGATCTGTCTGTCCTGTTTCAAGGGCAAAATAAATAAAGTTCATTTAGGGAATTAAAACATAGAGGTTTATGTTTCTGATATGATTAAGTCTGAAGAAGAGTGCTCCCCGAAATGGAAAGGAACAAGTTGTTGTGTAAGAAGATAGTTATCAGTACTTCCATCAGTTTGTTGGCTTTACCTGTGGATTTTATATTCTTCCACAATGGGATAGTTGAAGAACTCATGTTAGACATATATTGAATGCAAAGAAAAAAAATGATGTTAGTATAAATTTGTTCTGGGTTAATAAAACAAAGCTAAACAATATATTTATTTATGTACAAATTGAGACTATCTAAACTTACTCCTTGTTTATGTGGCAGACTATGATCAGTTAAAAGATATATATGAACTTACAGACAACTTTTCATAAAATTGTAGAACAAAGCTGTAACAAGTTCAATCTTGGTTAAGACTCAACATCTCTCAACAATTTGATCCAGTATTGCTCAGTTTACAGTGACTGAATATTAGTTGGGAAAACATAAGCCCATATAGAAAAACAAAAACAAAAACAAAACAAAGCAAAACAAAAAAGTCTACAAAGCATTGACCATAGAATTCTCTGGGAATGTTGCCTTATACATAAATACCATCTGTTCATATTTGAGTCATTTTCCTTTTGGTCATTATTTAATCCGTTAAATAAAATCCTGTTTCTCTTCTCTCCCTCTCTCTCTCTCTCTCTCTCTCTCTCTCACACACACACACACACACACACACACCCAAACCCCATATATATGTATGAACAGGATTTTTGGAGTAAATTTAGAGTCCACCTTTATACATATATTTTATTTAAAGAATTTCTCTCTAGAATGTCTCCTTAGATTTTAAATCACTTGAGAAAAATCTATGAGGAATTCTTTGCATACACATGTTAACTACAGGTTAAAAGGAAAAGAAGTTTCATTAGCTTATTTGGAAGTGGAAATTATGACTGAGGACACGAGGATCTATGGATAGTGTAAAAATCCATCAAGGACAATTTGACACGATTTTTCTGGCTATTAAAAATACTTATTCGTTCATTCATTTATTTATTTTACAAAGAGGGAGAGAGAGAGAACAAGCAAGCAGAGGCAGGGGAAGGGGCAGAGGGAAAAGAGAAAGAGAATCTCAAACAGACTCCACACTGAATGCAGAGCCTGCCCTGGGCTTGATTTCAAGACCCTGAGATTGTGACTTACATGGAAAGTAAGAGCCAGATCCTGAACTGACTGAGCCACCCAGATGCCCTGATCCTTCTGGCTTTTTAAAACTATTTATTACATCCAGTGCACCTGGGTGGCTCAGTTCTTAAGCATCTGTCTTTGGCTCAGGTCATGATTCAGAGTCCTGGAATCGAGCCCCACACTGGCCTCCCTGCTCTGTGGGGAGCCTGCTCCTCCCTCTCCCACTCCCTCTGCTTGTGTTCCCTCTCTCGCTGTGTCTCTCTCTGTCAAATAAATAAAATTAACTTTATCACATCTATAATAAAGAAAAATGTGAAATTGAAATCTATGGGCTCAATTATGTGACACATTTATAGTAAAATGTTTAAAAACCGAATGGGAAATAATAATATATTCTAGGCACTTTAGTAAATGCTTTTCATTTACCAGCCATTTTGTCTGCACTATGACCTGATGAGGTATATTGTTGTACTATTGCCCTTGTTTTGCAAATAAGGAAATTTGAACCCAAGGTTACACAAGTACGAGGGGGCAGTCTGTATCTAAACCTTTTCAATGTGATTTGGAAGCTCATACTTTATTGATTTTGCTTAAATACCCTCTCATAAATAAAAGCTTTAAACCTTCCCTTTGCCCTCCAATTATCAAGATTTTATCATGAATATCCTGAATGACCTCTCTTAAAAATAGCCAACAAGAAAATTTATTCCAGAAGAATTTAAACTTAAAGATAAGGATTCAATAAGATCGAATTTTTATGTAAAATAAATTGTTAAATACCCTAGTTATTTCCTCCCAATTTAAACATACATATTTATGTATATATACATACATTAATATATAAACATACATTACATTATGCACACGCACACATACATACATAGTAATCAGGATGCTCACTTCTGTGAGATTTAAATCTCTTTGGAATGTCAGGGTGATCCTCAGGCTGTGTTGTTTTTATTTTAATTTCTGTGCCTGTGCTATAAAATAGCAAACATATGTGGAATGTCCCTGACTCTCCTGTGAATCTTCCATACAAAAGAAGCTTTCAGAAAGTGTTACTGGGAATACCTTGAATTAAAAGCACAAGAAGGACCTGAGGGAAAATCTCCCACAGGCATTTTACAGTGGCCAGTGCATATGTGGTTATAAATTGAACAATAAAGCCCACATTTTTATAAGGTCATATAGATGGGCTTGAGGCTTTTTTTCATTTATCTCGTGAGAGTTATTAGTGAGTGATTCAATACTTCTGCAGTGTTATAGCCCTGATGTAATATTATGGGTATATATATATTTTTTTTCTCTGAAGTTGCCATCCATTTAATTTCTGTAAGTCTATCAACATCTTACAAACTTTTTTTTTTTCTTTCAGTGAACCAAGATTCATTGTTTATGCACCACACCCAGTGCTCCATGCAATACATGCCCTCCTTAATACCCCTACCAGGGTTGTTAACAAGAGTTTCCTTAACCCCCATCTTTTTTAGTGCTTTTGTATTTGGGGCTTTAATGCTACAACATTCTATTTCAGTTGGTGCCAGAAAGAACTAAATATAAACAGATACAATCATATATTTCCTCTTCAGCCAATTTCCTATAAAGCAACAGGAATTGACTGAAAGGAAGGAGATAATTTTGCAGGAATTTTATCCAAATTTCTTGAGCCTATCAGACCTAAGAAAATAAGCATGGTTTTGCAAGGAAATAACTCAGGTGGTGTTATTATATCATCCCCAGGCCATGAGAATCTGTTCTCTAGAAATCTGGAGGAAGGGGATTCTGTTTGTGCAGAGGCTTCACGGCAATTGGCTTCTCAAAATTCTCAGATTCAACCCCAAACCTCATCATCTTGGATTTGTTTCATTTTTGTTTTCTTTGTGGTTCTGTTGTTGACATAAGAGACCACAGCAGCTGTGTTTTCTGTTCCCTTTACAGTACTCCCATGTCTATGATTAAACCCATGACTTCATTTTCATCAGGGTCTATGTTTGGGCTTCTGGAGACCGAACTGTAACAGAAAAGCTCTCATCCTCATGGTCTACGTGAAGTTGTGTAGACAAAGTAGTAACTACCTTATCCTTTATGTTAGCTTACCAATGCCACCAACAGAAGGAAGTCACTTCACAATCCTTACAACCGTGTCTTGCCCATGCACCACTCAAGCTCCACAGTCATTGTAAATCCCAACACATCGATGTCGTTTGTGGAAAATCAGTAAATTTTTTGTGTGGAAAATAGAAAAAATGTTCTTTCAAACATAAGGTCAACATGTTTATAGACAAGCATTATAAGAGTTTTCTCTCAAATTACTAACTTACGTATTTTTCCATATAACAAATTTTTTTTTCCTGCATAGAGAGATAACTATCTCTATGGTTTCCAATGTTATTTAGACTATGGTTGCCCTAGTAACAACCAAATTCCTCACTTCTCTCCCAAATGAGTCCGCATGCTGTCCTTATCTGGTCCTGATCATAACCGACGCATCATTTTCAGACATTCTCAGTCTGCCTCAAGTCTTTGTTCATATTGTTCACTCAGGTCAGAAAGTCTCTCAGTTGTACCTTTCACAATCTACAGTTGATCCTTGAACAATATGGGGATTAGGGGCATGTATAACTTTTGAGCCCTGCCCCAAACCTAATTAATCGTCTACTGTTCACTGGAAGCCCTACCAATAACATGAGCAGTTGATTAAGACATATTTTGTATGTTGTGCATGATATATGTGTTATATACTGTATTTTTATAACAAAATAAACTAGTTAGTAGGAAACTCATAAGGAAGTGAAAATGTAGTACTGTACTGTATTTATTGAAAAGATTCCACATGTAACACAGCTCACTTTGAACAGCCCATGCTGTTCCAGGGTCAATGGTATTATCATGTGCTACTCAAGCTTCCCTCAGTTATTGCCTCTTTCTAGCTATTTTAACCATGCTTACCACTGTATATCTCCTTGTAATGGGTTTGCCTGGATTACAAAAACATCTTATTTCTTTTAGGGGAACATTTTCTTCCTTTTATTGAACAAAATCCTCACTGTGGTGTTTGTAGGAGGAAGTGTATAAATTTATACCAGCTCTCAGAGTTAAGTATGTGACACCGGATGCCAATGTGGGGGCTGGAGGAAGAAGTAGGGCCATTGGGGTATGAAGTCGCACACACAAGATTGCCACCCACTCTTCGATTAATTTATTCTGTGCTAAAATAGACTTCACAACCTGGCCTTAGGCGTCTTTGGCATTTTCTAATTTAACCTCTGCTGAGACATTGTACCTTACTGTTCCTCAGAATCTGTTTCAACAGGAAGCACATGATTTATGGCCTATCAATAATGAAGAGAAGTGAACTCTTTGTGCTCCAACTCCTCAGGGTATAAAAAGTTATTAACCATGGCGTAGCTATGTTTTTAAGAACTGGAAAGGAACTAAGCCTTGTTTGGCTCTGTACACTGGCCAACTTTTCTTTTGAGAAATGTCTCATCCCTTAGAAAGAGTGAGAGGGAGGTTTGGGGTTATATTCTCCCAGGTCATGTACTTTAAATGATCCCTGGAAATGTAAAAGAACATTTGTATATATTTCCAACACTAAAACCAATGAATATACAACTTTTGGGCAGAAAACAAACAAAAGCATTTTTCAACATAAATGCTAATGATGATTTTATTTCCTTTTAGTTTCAAAAATCAAGAGAGAAAGCTTTTCTTTATAACAGAAATAGGAAAGTCCCAGAACCAGGACTTACATGGGCTGCTTTCATGGTGAAATTCATTAATCTTCTGTAACAAAATCAAGAATTTATTTTGACTGTATTGGAAACACCAGATGCCACCATTTACTCAGAGTTTACACAGAGATAATGAAATTTTTCTAATGAGATCATCACCTTGTAAGTAAAAATCCAACCAACATATACTGAACAAACATGACTTTCAAATTTAAAAAGCTTATACACACACACACACACACAGATTTATATCTATAAATATATAAATTAAATTTTAATTAAAATAAGTTTATATATAAATTAAATTTTAATGGATAAGTACATTGATTTAATAGGTGTATTTCTCTCTTCATGTTTTGCTAACTTTCCATTACACTGATACAATTCAATGACTGATTAATATTATGTCCCCTCTTCTTATTCTGTTATGTTGCCCTGTTGGCAGGAAATCTTCTGTTCCTTGTCTCCATTTGATGCAGCCCTCTTTTTCACCAACCCATGTACTATTTCCTCAGCCACTTATCCTCTATGGATATCTGCTATACCTCTACTGTCACACCAAAATTCATTGGTGACCTACTAGGGGAGACAAAATCCATCTCCTATAGTAATTACATGTTACAACTATTTGCCATGCACTTCTTTGGGAGTATCGAGGTCTTTATTCTCATAGTCATGGCCTTTGGTTGCTACATTGTATCTCCACTATGTGATTATCATGAACAAGACAAGGTGCCATCTCCTAGTCTTGGCTGCTTGGGCTGTTGGGGCTCGCCATTCTTTTCCTCAATTATTGATGGCAATCCAGTTGCCGTTTTGTGGTCCTAATGAAATCGATCACTACTTTTGTGATATCTTCACTCTGCTGAGAGTTGTGTGCACTAATACTTACATCACTGGGATCCTTGTGGTTGCCAATTCAGGTATGGTCATCTTAGTTATCTTTGTTGTCTTGTTTGTTCCTTATGTCATTATATTTAGTCTATGACATCACTCAGCTGAGTGAAGACACAAAGCCCTCTCCACCTGTGGGTCTCATATCACTGTGGTCAGCTTATCATCAGGCAGATGAGGCTGAGTCTAAATCACCTGTGAAGTCAGTGAACAGAGAACAAACGAGATGGGAAACACATTAAGAAGGCTCATGATGTGATGAGCACTGGGTGTTATATTCAACAAATGAATCATTGAACATTACAACAAGAACTAATGATGTACTATACCATGGCTAATTGAATTTAAATTTTAAAGGAAGACTGGAAAGTACTGTGTGAGGGTAAACCAATGTAAACAACAATATATCTTTCATTACATTGTCAGTTTTATTATGGAGACACAAATAAAAACAGAATATATATCATCCTCTCTGAAAAACACTAAATGTTGACCAGACGCATATGTACGATACACATAGTGATTGCTTCTAAGTAATCAAAAGTGCGATTACATTTTTTAAGTTCTTGAATAAATTGCATTTTTAAATGTAAAAGATAAACATAAAAAAAAATTTTTAAAAGGCTTTGCTATACTTTGCTTCCTTCTTCTGATTTTCCCATATAATTTTTGCTTTTCCTCTCTCCCAGATAATGAGGGAGAGTTCTTTATTCCTTTCTTTTCTTGTCTCCCATTTTCCAACAGCCCATTTATCAATAATAAGGTCATTCCAATTATGGTAT